TCTGAAGAAGAAATCACTAATAGCCGAAGCTGCAGCTGTAGTTTCCTGATTTGGTATTGCATATGCCTCTGGCCACTTGGTGAAATAATCACCACAGAAATGTACCTGTTTCCAGCATGAGTTTGGGGCAAAGGACCAGCAATGTCAACGGCTACTCTTTCCATTGGTTCACCAACTTGATATAACTTCATTGGAGCATGCCCCTTATGCTTGGGTCCCCTTTTAGCACAACATGTACTGCAGGTCCTGCACCATTCTTCCACTGCTTCCACAAGCATTGGGCTTCCTAGGGGATGCTCTTTAATTCTACCCCCAAATTATCTTCTCTGTAATAGTGGTATTGTAGTTGACTTAAGTGCTGTGACATGCAAATCAATAGAAGTAGTAACACTTACCGGAATTTGGCCTTTGTTGTTCCCAAACGTCATTTTATCAAAATTAATTACAAACTTCCTCGGTAGTAAGTAGTTCAATCCTAATATGCATTCGTCTTCAGTGTCACCCAAGTATACTTTGTGTTTGTCCTTTATGCCCATAAGCTCAATAGTTACCCACACTTGTCTCCACAACCTTGCAGAATGTCCTTTCACGCCACAAAGCTTCTGTATGACTTCTGGTACTCCTTCGTGATCTAACACCTTGATGCTCACAAGGGTTTGCTGAGATGCAGAATCTATGACAAAGTTGCACCTTTGGCCATCCAGCTTTCCTGTCACATAGACACTATGTGTGCATGGCATTTTACACCGAGCTGTTGGGACTTTCATGATGGGGGTTGGTGAGTGTCCCTCAAACTCAACCACTACTGGCCTCCTTGAGGCTGACTTATTGGTAGTATCCTTCTTACACTGGCTCCTCATATGTCCTTGCTCTCCACAGTTCCAACAACCTTTCCATGTAGCAGCCTTTCCTGCAGTGGCATCTTCCCTGTGTTGAAGTTGCCGGCATTGAGCACTATTGTGCCCAGGTTTATTACAGTGCCAGCAAAGCCTCTCAAACCTCTATGAGAGCTGCTCTTTTCTGGCCTCGAATCCTGATGACTGTACCAATCTTGGTACCTCTGTGCTGGACTTAATTTAGGATTCGAATTCAAGAGCTCTGGCCATTGCATCTTGTATAGTATAGGGCTGTGCTTGCTTTACTTGTATCTTTAGTTGTGGACTGTCCAAGGCATCTACAAACTAATCCCTCAGCAACAGCTTGAGGACATTGGGTGGTGCAGTTGGGTAGGCCTTGTGTGCCATACTTTCCAATCCTGTGCCAGCTCCTGCAGGCTCTCCCCTTTAGCACGGACTTTCGTCCTGAACCTGGCCCTGTAGACTTCTGACTGGTTTTGGGTTCCATACCTGAGTTCGAGAGCCGACATCAGTGTTCTATAGTTGTGTCTGTCCGCTGCTGTCAACTGTCGAAGTATTTCCAGTGGTTGTCCCTTCAAGCTCGTTGCCAGATATACTGCTTTCTGCTCTTCTGTCCATCCATTCATCTCTGCCAGGAGCTCAAATTGTGCTCTATATGCTTCCCATGGTGCTTCCCATCGAATCCCTGTGGCTTCCTTCGTACTAGATCACCACTATTGCTGACACTCATGTTTGGAATGTGACTTCCGACAGGACTGAAGATGTCTGCATTAGGGTTTAGCTGTGGGGTCTGGAAGAGGCTTGCCGTTGTCTGAGGCTGATTAGGTCCATGGCTAATATATCTTCCTTGTGTAAAAGACAGTAAATTGTCCTTTAACGTAGTTAATTCACTTTGAAATTTACTAATCTTTTCCATTTGTACTTATTGTTTCCTTTCTTGTTCCAGTTGCCACTGGTGCTGGTTTTCCTGCCACTGATGTAGTCTGTCTTCTTGTTCATTTTCTTTCTCCTCCAACAACTGCTGTAGTCTCTCTTCTTGTTTATTTTCTTTCTCCTCCAACCACTGCTGTAGTCTCTCTTCTTGTTTATTTTTTTCTCCTCCAACAACTGCTGTAGCCTCTCTTCTTGTTTCTTTTCTTTTTCCTCGAACAACTGCTGTAATCTCTCTTGTTTCTTTTCTCGTTCTTCTTGTTTATTTTCATTTTCCTCCAACAACTGCTGTAATCTCTCTTCTTGTTTATCCTCTCGTTATTCTTGTTTCTTTTGATGTTCTTGTATTGCTGCCATCAAATCTGCTAAGCTGTAGTTTGATTTGCCACTTCTCGTTTCCTTCTTTATTTTTCTTTTCCGCCCCACTCTCTGACACCAATTTGTTGCGTATCTGCTTGTTTGATAATTTCCCGTAAAAATTCTTTCCGAGAAACTTCAGTGATACAAGTCCTTTCTTAATTAGAACTATTTTATTCTTTCCCGATACAAACTTTGTAATACACTTAATTTCCACAGCCACTTTAAACTTAACAACCTTTATAACACACGCTATAAATCACTTTGATTCACATACTTTACTTACGGTGCCTAATGTTCGCTTGACTCAGTTATCTCTATCTTCAATCTATCTGCATATCTATCTCTCGCTGGCTTTATTTGCCTAGATTATATACTAACAAAGAGGGCGCCTAGAACAAACTAGAGTTGCCAGGAAAAGTCATGATCCCTCGAGAACTCCAGCGCGCATGCTCCCAGCGTTGCGTGACTTCCGCTGTCGTAACAATATTGCTTGATTTTTATTTCAACTTTAGTTGCTCTAAATTGCACTAATATAAAAGGAACAACTGAACCATGGTATTTTATGTGACCTATAATCCTATAGTTTTCCCTACAGTTTTTTTAATTAAGTTAGGTACTAAAACGATTGTTTGTTTGTTTGTTTTTGAATTTCGCGCAAAGCTACACGAGGGCTACCTGCGCTAGCCGTCCCTAATTTAG